CGGCTTCATGCACCTGGCAGCTGTTGAAGGAAGAAATGAATGCAACGTTGGAGGGGAATGTGCGTTCAGGGAAAAATCATCTTGCTCACTAGTCTTTCCTGCTACTGCCCGACTGTCAGCTGTGCAGTCGGCACATGCCGAGCAAGTGGAATGGCACAAGCTATCCTCGGAATGGTACCTCGACAAGGGAGGATGTGCCGTCGCGCGCAAACCGCAACAGGGGCCCTTCCTGAACACAGAGCCAATCTTAAGAGTCAGGTGCAGTGGGACGTCCCTAAGCCGGAATGCCGCTTGCTTCATGGGTCACTGAAGGCCGTGTCTGAGCAGGAACAGCTGATGCTAGGGCCAGGGCCAGGGGATGCTCGGGCCTGTGTTGAGCTCACGAAATCTTGATTCCTGAAGGTGCAGACGGCGAACCCCACCCCGTCAGAGTACGCACGTAGAGCAGCGGATGCAGGCCGTCACAACAGGGTTCATTCTCGTCGAGCGCAAGCTCATGCAGCACGCAGAAGGGTTGCGGCACGGGCCGCGCAACATCAAGCTAGCAGCTAGCAGGAGCACCAGCAACGGCTCAACAGCACCACGGGCTTGGGCGGCTTGGGCTACCCAGGGAGAACGCCTGTCCGCTAATGCGCGGATGGATGTAGCGCAGGGTTCATTGGCGCAGCGACGACCTTAGCTCCGTCCGGGAGGTATCCTATAGTCACCGGACGTGCTGGGAGGGGTGCCGAGCCGCGAGTCTTGAAGAGAGCCCTCGCAGCGCAGTGCACGAGTACATCTGCTACATCTCGAGCCAAGCCCCGAAGCCCAGGCACAGCTTTAGCTCGTGAAGGAGCGTGCAATGCGTGCACGGTGCTCCGCACAGACCCGTTTGAAGCAAGGGCTGGGTTCCATGGATTCCCAAGCCTTGCTAGCAACCGTGCTTCTGACCACGGCTCCCCTCAAAGGTGGTCCCGCATCATGCTTCGCTTAGGCATCAGAAGCACCTCAAGCCCCCTTTCTGTGCCCTTCGCCTTCACCACCGGAATCCGAATCTGGCACCACATGCTTTGGTGAGGGGCGGTGTCACGCAGCACGGATGGGAAACTCTTCACCAACAGAAACCTGTCTTTTTGCCAAGCTGCCCCGCCGCAATCACCGCCAATTCTTTCAACTTCAGCCTCGGCTGTCTTCTGCGTGATCGGTGGGGGGCTTCGGATCTGCACTTGCTGAATATCTCCGGATGTCACATGGGGTTTCATTCTTGGCTTCACATTTCGGGAAGTGGCAGGTCAACGTCTTCTTGCGCAACAGCCCACATAGGCAGGCTCTCTGCATCCGATGCCCGCGCAGTGTTCTAGAGGGCTTCCGGAAGATTTTAGAGCCGGCTCTGTGCAAAGTCGGCTTCCTAGCCGTAGGAGCTTCAAGGGGAAAGCCTCGCTTTCTTGAGGGCTCAAGCCTCAGGTTGCTCTCAGAAAGTGCAATGTATGGGTATCAGGGGCCTCTGATCTTTTGGTGATCTGTTGCGACACACGTCAAACTCCTCCAAGTCCAAAAGCGAAACTCCGAGAACAAAACAGACGGGACCTGAAGACCTGTCTGGAGCGCCTCGAACTCGGCAGCTTCAACCCTGCATCCTGAGATCTCACTGCACTTCGGCCACGCAAGGATCTAAGGAATCTCAGGGCATGTCTTAGAGCCTGCATGCCCAGGCTGCTCTTACACGTCACTTCAGCTTTAGAGGATTGCCTGCGGGCACAGGAAAGGACGGAAGATTCGGGAAATGAGGTCAAAGCGAATGGCTTGAAATGCCCGGTAGGTTGTTTGTGTGTGACCACCAGCGACTCCAACGAATGGCACAATGTCTCTTGCAGAGGAACCGTTTCTGCCTCTTATGCCCAGAGACCAAAGGAGGCTTCCAGGCACTTTTCGAAAACTTCCGGCCCCTTTGGGCAACATCTAGATGGTAGTTTCCCAAAATAAGGGGACCCCAATATAGATCCCAGAATACTATAGTCCTTAGTATGGGGACCCCCAAATAGGTACCCCTTATTTTGGGAAACCCCCATCTAGGTGGGCCTTGTCAGGCAGGAGCCCTGCTTCACTTTGTAGAGCGGCCTTCGACAAAAAGCAGCGTTGCACCGAGGTCGACCGGTCGCAACCGATGGAGCTTGGGGTACGGAATGTCAACAGACTCGGATTCCCAAAATGCTTCCCCCACCTAAGGCTGCTCCAAACAGAGCACTCTTGGCAATGCCGAGGAAGGAAGTTCCATTCCAAGGCATCCACAATGGAATTGCGCAAGGGTATGTTGCAAAACTGTGACCCTTGCGAGCTGCATATAACACAATGATGGAGGTTGAGCACCGAGATTACTCGGATTCCCTCATGTGCGAGGCTATGCCTTACCCCCAGCAAGCCCAACGATGGCTTGTGCCCAGGGCCCTCCCACATCGGCATTGCTCGTGGCAGTTCGCATGGTAAAAGGTCGAGTCTCGCGGTGTCTCTCTTTGGCATCTTGATGCTGCTGTTTCTAGCCCCTGAGATGCTGCAGAAGTGCTCAAGCTGTCGGAAAGCCAGAGGCAGGCGATCTCTTCTCTCCGCCCCTATGACCCTGCAGGTCAGAGCACAGGGCCGCCAGGTCAAACTTTCGATAGCAACGTCTGAATCAGCGACTCGGAACCAGTACGTGGCGGGGACGACGCTTGCGATTCACGCTGCTGCGACCTGCTCAGATGCGCTAATGATGCAAACTCATGCAAACTCTGTAGGCCTTGCTGTGGAACGAAACCAGTCACCAGAAGAACATCTAAACAAGTTGGAGATAGAACTTGGACAAAGTTACCTACAGGCAAAACCATTGCTGAGATGCAAGAAATTGAAGAACAGAAGCAAGCGGCTCGGGGCTTGAAATCGTTGAGGAGGCTCTCACCGCCCGATCTCAGAAGAAAAACTTCTCAAGCTTACTGAGAGGTTGTTGTTTCGGAAATGCTTCGGCCGAAAAGGTGCGCCCCGAAAACGTGTAACATCGGGGTCCCAGAAAGCAGGCCGCCGCAAAACTGCAACTTTCTTATATGAAGGAACCTTGCCTCATACTAAGAAGCCCCATGCAATTGCTGAATCCGAATCGCAAAACATAACCTGGAAATTTCAATATCCAATCCGCCAAAGCGCACGAGTTTCGGCGAGGCAACACTGCCCAAGATCGTGAAGTTCTGGATCCCCACCTGGTGGAAGGACCTGCACGATCTGCACGCCCCTACCCTCGTGGTCCGGTTGCCTGAATAATGCGTTACTGGTGTACAAAATATAAGGTAATTCTCTAAATCAGGGTCCCTTCTAGGGTCCCGTTTTATCAGGGTGCCGTACCAGTTTGGGGACGCCTATGGAACAAGTACCGGTGAGGGGGCAGGAAGGGTTCTTTAAAGGAAGGGTTTAAGGTTTAGTGTGCTAGCCGAGCAGACGGTGCACAGCTCCCCAGGGCCCCAAACCGGTCCCCCAAAGTCCAGCACAGACTCCTTAAGAAGGACCCCGTCTGTCTTTACATATCCCTTCTGGTGGGTTGGTCTACAGCCCCCGGGACCGGCTTTAGGGCCCTAAACCCTAAACCCTAAGCCCTAAGCCCTAAACCCCCCATATAGCCAAGGGGTATAACAATATCCCAATCCCCAAGTTTAGGGCCAGGAGGATGACCAACATCTTCAGCTGGCAACGATCTGAATGCTCCTGGCTACTCCTGTCATGTTCTCTGTTCAGTTTAGATGGTTCGGCATAGCGCAAAACAGAACTGCAAAGCATACACTGTCAGTTACCCAGGAATTGGAGGCCATTCACAGACGTGAACTTGCAGCTGCGTAGCTAAAGTCAGCTAAAGAAGCAATCTGACGATCAGGTGAGTCACCAAAAGTCAGCAAACATCTTGCCCCGAGGGCTGATTCTTTTCACTATTTCAGCCTCTGCAGTACCCCCAAGACCTACTCACCGGAAGTGTAAGGCCTGTAGTTTGCTGGGCGCTCGACCGGCGGCCCATGTCTGCGGCCTTCCTGGTACAGGCTGTCAAGTGCATCTGACATTTTGCTGCATGCATCCCAGCATCCACCGAACGCATGCGCGCGGCCTTTCAAAACGAATCCTGGCTGGCAGGGAAATCGCGCTCCGACCAAGCCTACCTAACAGTAAGCCAGCTCCATCTGCGGACGGAAATCTATAATCCCTCAATATATTATAGCATAGCGAACATAGAAGGTTAGTGGATCCAACTTGGCGCATGCATACCTCAGCCTCGAACCCTGTAGACGCGGCTGGTTTAGGGTTAGGGTTTAGGGCAGGGTTTCAAGGGATATAGGTGCCCATTGGGGTAATATTAGGGTTATATGGGGATATAATGGAAAAGAATATGGAAACTACTATAATGGGTTCAGGGTTAAGGCTGTGGGGATTTAATCTTCTGGGCTGACCGGCTATTCTGTTCACTTCTGATGTTTGGTTGCCTGCAGGGTGTTAGGACAGATCTGCGGTTCCTGTCAGGGCCCTGCCTATCATTCATATAATATCTCACAGGAAATGTCATGTATACTTAATCCCTTCAAAGTCGTTTTCGAAGCGCGGCTGTGAGTTGGGAACTGTGATGTGGAGCCGACAAGCCCGCCCTAAACCCTAAACCCTAAACCGTGCATGTCTCCCACTGCGTCTCTCCTTTAAAATGCACAGCAGGGAAATTGCGCCATGCAGCTAGATGCAGCAAATAATCACACTGGGGGTGTTATATAGAATGGGCGGTTATATCAAACGGGGGGTTATATCAAATAATATTGCGTTTATGGCGACTTGTCTTTTTCAGACGCCTCTGTCGGAAGCTGTCTGTGAGACTGCTGGGCAGCTGGCAGGGCAGGGGCTCCACCTTTGGAAGCCCGAGGCCTAAGGGCCCAAGGGCCAGAATGACACTATAATATATTAGGGTATATATTGGGGTTATATAGGGAATAATGGAAAAGAAAATGGAAACTACTATATTATATGGGTTATATAGGGACTAAAGTGACTACAGGGTACATATTTGGGTTATATAAAGGAAATAATGGAAAAGAAAATGGAATGACTGAGAACGGAGAGGCGACGTGTGGCCCCTCAGCTCTTGGCCTTGCAGCAGAGTGTTCATGCCAAGCTTGTGACGCTCCGATCGTGATCTGCTTCGGCGCTGCCTTCTTCATGGACACGGCGAACTCGTCGCCAAAGGCCGCATCTTCCTGCGGGCTCACCTGCCAACTCTTTCGTCACAGGTACCAAGACGTGCTGGAGTGCTCCGGCCTCCCAGCCCCAAACCGGTGCGAGTCGCGCTGCTATGGCGTCCGGCTTTGTCATCTTGGACGAATCCAAGCCTTCCAGGCGAGCATGCAGGGTTTAGGGTTCTGGGTATTCGGAATCGCATGCTTGGACTGCCTTGCTCCTTAGCCAGGCGCCGAAGGGCTCCATCCTTGACCTCAGTGATCAGCATGGCTTGGCCAAACAACCTAAGAGTGCACCATTGGCTTTCCATGTTCTTGTGCCATTCCCCGTTTCCACCTGGGCACAAGAAAAAACGTGCATTGTTTAGAAGGCACCTGGCCCTTCTCCGCCTGCTCGTAATCCCCACATACACCCTGAATACCTAGCTTCACTCCCCCAATGCCTGAACCATCAGCGGAACATAACCCTTGCCCAAAACCCAGACCCTGCCAACATACTCCTGTAATAATACTGAAAGCCACTTTCCATCTGTACCCCGACCCTTTTTGCATCTCGCACACAGAAACCTTAAACCCTAAACCCTAAACCTTAAACCCTAAACCCTAAACCTTAAACCCTAAACCCTAAACCCTAAACCCTAAACCCTAAACCTTAAACCCTAAGTCATACTGAACCGTGGCCACCCCTTAACAGTCCAATAATGGAGAATCAAATGGAAAAGAAAATGGAAAATTAAATGGAAACTGGGGTTATATAGGGGTTATGGGGCTTAGGGTTTCCCAAAAATAGGGGTACCATTTTGGGGCCCGTTTAACAAGAACTCTAATATTTTGGGGTCTATATTGGGGTCTATATAAGGGTTTATAGGGATATCTATAATAGGGGTCATAGGAAGGGCTCGCTGGAAACATACTCTGAATACTATCCAACTGCTAAGGGGTGGGGGCAGTGTCCAAACTAAACCCTATACCTTGAACCCCATAGCAGCTTCCATTTTATTTTCCACTATCCCCATTATACTATCCCCTCAGGTAACCCCTGTATATACCCTGAACCCTAAACCCTATGAACCCTGGGCCCTCATTGTTCACTCCTCCTCCTCCACGCAAAGCCCCTGGCCCAGAGCTTCTTGGCCGGGCCTTGCTCAAGGATGCGCCCCACGGCCATGACTGCCACCTCGTCTTCTTGGCACCAGGCTTGCCCCAGCTCAGGTGTATACTACATATCTGATATATATATATACACCTATATACATATATACATATAAGCCTCGTCGTAGAGCGGAGCCTGCTGAGCGCGTTGGCTCACCTGAGCCGGGAGCGAGTTATCAAGGAGCCAGACATGGAGGAATGTACATCCGACCTGTAGCACTGCTGCACCGCAACGGCGGCAGTAGCGCAGCAGAATAGCTGTCAGGTCCTGGCATCGCAGAGAAGGCAGGCACTCAAGTATCCTCAAGCTCAAGTCTGCTTTGCGGGCAAAAGGCCGCGTCGGTGCTTGGGCTGAAGCGGCAGGTGACCGCATCCAGAAGCAATAGCTTTGATCGCCTGACATGCAGCTTGATATGCTGGGGACTATTACTGGGATAATGGAAAATAAAAAGGAAACTACTATCTAGCATATTGGGGTATAATATAGGGATATAATATTGGGAAAATGGAAAATAGAATACTACATTATAGTGGATATACAGGGGTATTATTCGCTCATGTACAATGTGAACGCAGCAGTCCGGCCCCTGCAGCAGCCGCAGAAGAGCACGGCATAGGCACAGAAGCACCGCCGAGGGCCCCTCCTGCAAGCAACCACAACTCCAAACTACTCCAAGCCCCAAGTGATACATACTTATGCCTCCAAAGCATGGACGATACCTGGACCCTGGAGCTAGGTACTCTCTGGTCTCGGAAGCCTGAAGGGGCATAGCAGAGTCGAGCGTAGACCTGGGACATCAGGCGTTGATGTACTGGTTCCTAGGTGAGTGAGGAAAGTGAGTACAATGTTGGACCTGTTTTGTGTTGAGGTCCCTATATTGCGTTATGGGGCCCGCTTACTCAGAATCAGGGGTGATTGATGATGGTGAGGCCCGCTACAAGCCGCTAAATGGCGTCTGATTTTGTGTCTTTTCAAACCCTTTTCCAACTCAGCCTTCAGAGCCTTAGATCCTGAATCCCCATACCAACGAATCCTAAGCCTTCAGCCGACCTGTTTGGTTCAACCTACTTTATTCAAAACCTGAAAATAATCGTTTGGGCAAAGGGGGTAATCCAGCAGGCGCATGGATCCTCAATAATGCACATTGTTTTGAGGCCTTCTTTTCTCTGGCTATTTTCTATTGTTCTCAGGGCCCTATGGTTAGGGAGAGGGGTGCCCCCAACATTAAAGCAGGTCCAACTTTGACACATGCGGACTTTCACTCCTGACTCGGCGCAGGCTCAAGGGCCGATGGTAGTCTATGGATGGGAATTTGAGAAGTGCAGAGGTTACCAAAGTGAGTCAGAAGGATGTCCGTAGCCATACCGACTCAAGACACGAATCGGACCCCCTTCCTGAATCCGCCTACATCACCGATGGAATGGATTCCTCGTGGAAAAGGCGGCGGTCGGAACTGTAGTGACGTACCTCCCGATTATGGCAATCATAGCCATCCTGCCTCCCTTCCTTGGTTAAGTGCATTGTCCGTTAAATGGTCTCGAAGTAACGGTAACCATAGGGGTAATAACGAGAAAAGCAGCACCTACCTGCGAAGCAGCTTCCTTCCTCGAATGTTCCACCAGGTTCCACCGTGTAGCGAACGACACCTCAGCCTGCGGCGCGGTCCGGAGCATGAAGTTGTCCAGGCGCGTCAGCCGCAGCACTAGCTGCAGTTCCTCCTGACGAATTGTCTTAAAGGCATTTTTGAAACGAAGAGCAGTCTGCGGAACATGACTGATGGATCTCAGGCGATAACGCCAGGCAGTATGCGAAGGATGAACCATTGGAAAGAGAGGGGTCCAGCGTCCTCCTCGAACTCGCCCATGGGATCCAAGTTCTCCCTCCAAGTGCCGTGGAAGAGGCACAGCTCCTGAGGCAAGTGCTGTGCTTTGAGGCTTTCTTGATATGGTGATACGGCCACAGCTCCTGCGGGACCACCGCCACACGGCCTGAGGAAGATGCCGAATCATCATCGTAGTTGGCATTCTTCTTTCAAGAAGAGAAACGAAAGGCGGGGCCTTCCTCCTGGACTCCCTGCCTCGAAGAGTAGTCAGCCCCACGCACCGGACGTCCACCGCATCAAGGATCACACGACCGGACTGCAAACAGCAATTGGCTGGGGCTTAGGGTTAGAAGCATGCGCGTGTCAGGACACTTCCCTGTGGGGGGCTGTTGTATGCAAGCGGGGCGATTTGAATATCGGAATTGTTCTCCCGCATCTTCCCCAAAAGGACCCCCCAACAATCACTATATCATCCTCCTGTATCCCTCGGGCCCCAGAAACATCCCATGTGCCTCGAGCTGCTTGGAGCGGAGTAAAGTCCTCAGCAGCGACGACTTGCCGCAACCCCGGGCGCCGACGACTAGGAGCGCCTGAAACCATTTTGGGGTTATAAGGGGTATATATGGTTTAGGGTTTAGGATTGAGATAACTATGTTGGGGGAGACCATATTGGGGTTATAAGGGATATATGATATATATATATATATTGAGGTTATAAGGGAGATATACATATATATATGTATATATGTATATATGGCTTAGGGTTTAGGGTTTAGGCTTGGGATAACTATGTTGGGGGAAACCATATTGGGATTATAAGGCGTATATATGTATATATTGTTTAGGGTCTAGGGTTTAGGATTTAGGGTTTAGGATTTAGGGTCTAGGGTAGGGTTTAGGATCTATTGCCCCCAATAATGGAGAACCAAATGGAAAAGAACATGGAAAAGAACATGGAAAATGAACTACTGGCAACTGCGCGACTATAGGCTTGCTGTGATGCTGTGTGTTGTTTTGGAGTTTTCAGGTTTGACATTGCATATATTGGGGTTATTTATGGATAATGGAAATGAAAATGGAAACTAATATAGGGTTTGGAGTTGAGGGTTGCAGGGTCCTGGACGTGTGGTCAAAGAGAGGAGTATAGCATCTGAGAAGATCGTGCAACTTCTCACCCTCCGCTTCTCTCCACTGCTAAAGGGCATAAGGGGACCGGATGGACTAGATAGGGATTATATAATTCCCTCATTCCGTACTGCATAGCCCAAACATATACCCCATACACTGCAGTAGTGTCCATGTTTCCATTCTCCCTAAACTCTATTCCCTTGTTCCCTACTGTCTAACCCCAATATAGACCCTACTATACTATAGCATCCCTATATTATATCCCCTACTAAATGCTGTGCTTCTGTGCTTCTTTGCACCTTTCCCGCTGGCAGCGTCAAGGAGCAGCCGGAAAGGGCCGGGGACAGGCCAGGGCCATACCTGCGCGACAGCAGACAGATATATGCCCTTAAAATTATTGTAATCGCAATAACAATAATATTAAGAAATACTAGTATATATATCTTTATTAGTAATGGTAGGCTATAGTAATAGCAATAATATTCATAATGAGAATAATAGTAAGAGGAGAAATAGTAGACACCGAATAGGTCGCATGCTTACCTCGAAATGATTCAGGTCACATTCTTGCTTACATATATGGTAGTTTCCCCGAATAGGGGGACCCCAATATCGACCCCAAGATGCTATAGTCCTTATGATAGGGACTCCCAAAAGGGTACCCCTAAATTTGGGAAACCCTGATATATAAGCACCCCACAGGCTTCATGTGCTGCGACGTCATCCTCCGACGCCCCAGCGGCCTCACCGTCACCTTCTCGAAGTCAATGGCGCCAAAGTATGGCCAGTCAGCTGGAACCTGGAGACTTACATCTACTTCTTATTGCGATTATTGCTGTTATTATCAATACTATTCTTACTAGTACTATATGATGACTACTATTATGGTTATCAAGAATCACAATAGCTTTGAACCCAACTTTGCACAGTTTGCTCTTGGGCCCATGCCTTTTCGATGGGGAAGCCTGCCAGGGAGAAGGACTGCGCCTGGTCAATCCACACAGAGTCCAAGGACAGCTTCCTGAAAATTGAGGTTGAGGGCCCTGCTTTTCTTAGGCGATGACTGAAGGGATAACCCCCCCAGCGACCCCCAAAAGCCCAAAGCCCAAAGCGCAGAAGCTTTTTACTCCGGCAACAGGCAGCGCCTTTCTGGGTTTGGGCTCTGACAGTTCGCCAAAGCCGCTTTCGACCATCACATCCCCCAAGGCCACCTGCGTAGGGAAAATATACGTGATGCTTCAGGGTGATTGTTTGGGTTTAGGGTTTAGGGCTATAGTCCCCCTTAAGTAGATAGAATAATGTGGCTTTGGGTGCGTTACAAGAAAACACTATATACCCCTTTTTCTATCTACTTAAGGGGGACTATACCCTAAACCGCATATTCTACCTACTTAAGGGGGACTGTACCTATGATGGTTCATGGCTTAAGGTTCAACTGCTGGCTGCGGGCCCTGCAAGATATCAAAGGCGGGACGCTTGTAATCCTCTCCTCTCACTCAAGGGAGCATCCTCCAATACCTGGTTTGATCCTTGTAAACCTCTGGGGTCCCCGTAGAACCCTATAGTCCCCTTAAGTAGATAGAACATGGGGTATATGGGGATCTTGTGATAGTATGCCCAAAGCCATATTCTATCTACTTTACGGGGACTATATGTCGCGAGAGTTCCCTGCCAGCGCCTTGCCACTGCGGATCGCTGTCCGCTTGCCTCACACATCATGCGCGTTTCCACTCTAAACTCTGAAGCCGAAGCCCGGAGGAATGGGATGGGATAATGGAAAAGAAAATGGAAACTACAGGGATTATATAGGGGTTATTTAGGGATTATACAGGGTATATATTGGGGTTATATAGGGATAATGGAAAATGACATGGAAACTACTATAGTATTATTGGGGTTAGAATGGGATAATGGAAAAGAAAATGGAAACTAGCAGGGAGCTTAGAAAAGTCCTTGAGCACATCCTGCGTAAGGACGACCAGTATAGATGTTCACATGAAGGTACGTTACAGCATGTGGTGGTAGTGGGCATATACCCGTAGCATCGCTATGCTCACGTTGCTATACATCGTATACGGTACTGGGCCTCGAGATGTGCAAGAGCCTCTGCAACTGCAGCATAGGCCTCTGGCTAAGCCATGTAATAAAATACTATAGTCCCGCTTAAGTAGATAGAATATGGGTTATAGGGGATCTTATTATACTATACCCAAAAGCCATATTCTATCAGGGGGACTATATACCCTTTCTGCTGCACCAACTTACAATAATTGACCCCGAATCCTACAGAAACCCTGCAGCTCACGACTCGAACCCAAAACAAATCCCACGAATCTCTAAGCCATCCTAAGCCCCCAAACTCCTAAACTCTACCCATCCAAAAGGCCCACGATTTTCAGGTATACTCACCCCAAATCAAAGCCAAATAAACACAGTCACCCATTTTCTGAAGGAGCCCTATACCATACACCCACCAAACACCCGGCGTAAAATCCCTACCTCGGGTGGCTCCTTAATTACCAGTCTTCGCATCTGCACTCACCTCGTAAGCAAAGCCCATCCTTCCGCTAGATACCCTAAACCCCTATGAGCCATAGTCGAAGCTCCTCTAGTATCCCCCCTAATGACGCCTGTACTACTCCCCTCTACAATCCCCTACATAACCCCCGTTGTTATTTAGACTATATAGCTCATATTCTGCGTGCACTTTGTAAGATGGGCCTTGGGTCTCCTCGACCAGGTCCACTTCTGTGGTGGCCAGCGGACTTTCGAGCTCTTCAGGCACAGTCTCCTCACACCCATCACCACGGCTCTAAAATCTAGGGTTTAAGGTTTAGGGTTTAGGGTTTAGGGTGGTACTAGCCCCCGGTGACCCCTATATGATCCTGATATATCCCAATGCCACCCCTAGTTTCCATCCCAGACCTATGTAGATTTAAGGAAGTTTTTAGGTGGGTAGTTACCAGGTAGGTACCGTAAAGTAGAGCTTAACTAGGGCTTATATGGGGACACTGGGACTGTATAAGGGCAGCGCAAAGCTTTTATGCGGGAAACTATATAACTCAGAATAACCCCAGTTTCCATTTCATTTTCCATTATCTTTTCCATTTGATTCTCCATTAGTGGGGTATTTTCCCTACATACCCCTTAAGGGACCCAGGGTTTCCATTTCATTTCCATTTTCTTTTCCATTTGATTCTCCATTATTGGGGTATTATCATCTGAAACTTCCTCACAGAATATCAGAGGCTGAGGGTGGTGAGGTAGTGCTATGCAGGCACAGCAACGGTCCTGCACAAAAAAGAATCACAAGCACGACTCAACTACATTTGAAACTCTGGAGTGCCGCTTTCACCCGGGTTTAGAGTCAAGGGTTTCGGGATGCAGGCTTGGTGTTGCAAAAGGACAGGAATAGCTGGGAATCTGAGGACTGAGGACATGCTTTGAGATGTTGCTTGCCTCCGCAAAGCCTGTACCGAACTGGTAAATCCAGACTCCCGATTTCCCTCCATAGAACTGGGATCGCCCTTCCCAGATAATGCAGTAACACGAGGTTGGAGCATCTACTCATTGAACGTCATCATGTTACTTAGGACAATCACGTAAAATCTATTGGATGTCCCCGGCATGTATCCTCAATCCCTGTAGAAGCCTAACCCTACACCCTTCTAAAGCCCAAACGCTATTTACCACGCACCTTGCAGGTTTGTGCCATCCGACGCAAAGCGGCCAAACCATGCGTCAAGCGTGCCTTGATCATGCAGGGTAAGGGAGCTTCTACTGGGTTGCTGTTACCGAACTTGAGTTATGGTATATGTATATATACTGTAGGGTTTCCCGAACATATATAGTGACTTAAATTAAGTTCCTTAACAGCAACCCAGGACAAGGGAGCTTCTAACTCGGTCAGGGATACCTGAAGATGCCCCTATAGTAAAGTGTGCCATCAACTGGAACCCACTGCGATGGATCCCTGACAGAGGGAGACGTCCGAATTCCATGGTTACTTATCATCAGTGTGGTGGTTCTGCTTTACAGATTGATAGATTCTCAAGCAGCAGCACCCCCAGCTGTGCTCCCTGCGCCATGCTTCACAAAGTCCACCAGAGCATCAGGTAACAGCGCCACCTGCTGGGGTGCTAAAGAAGATGGGCCGCACGGAATTCCTTGCGCCAATCCCATGACTTGGGGGAGTAACACGATGTAGGACATCAGCATGCAATGCTTCCGAGCGTTTGGTGGACATAGGCGTTGGCGTCCATCATACATGTGGTATCCCTATGTGAGCTATAGTCTAAACTCCTAGACTCCCCCTTAATAACCCCTATATTAGTCCCCTATATAATCCCGTATATAACCCCCCTTTAAGGAGTTTAGAATATAGTTCATGTGCTCCAATACGTTGCTTCTTCCGAGCCCTCTGAGAGACATCCACGCCTCAAATTCCTCAGCCCATACACCTCAACCCTGGGCTCTGAAGCCCCTCACCTTATAGTCCCCCTCAAGTAGACAGAATATGGGGTATATGGGGATCTTATTATAATATACCAAAGCCATATTCTATCTACTTAAGGGGGACTGTAACCCCAACATATACCCTCTTATACTATAGTAGCTTCCATTCTCTTTTTCATTATTCCCTATATAACCCCAATAATATACCCCATGTTCTATCTACTTAAGAGAGACTATAACCCTAAACCCTAAATAGTAGTTTCCATTTTCTTTTCCATTATCCCTATGTAACCCCTATAAAACCCATATCTACTAAAGTGGGACTACAGCAAGCCAGCAGTGCCGCTACCATGACCTGCACCACCGAGGCCGCAGAGACGGCAAAGCCGAGCTTGGAGGGGAGGCTCTGGGCCTGGATTTTGCTGGAAAAATTGGGGTTGGGATAGCTATGTTGGGGAAACCATATTGGGGTTATAAGGGGTATATATGTATGTATATATATAAATATATATATATATGGTTTAGGGTTTAGGATTTAGGGTTTTGGGTTTAGGGCTTAGGGTTTAGCGTGGAGATGCAGGGCCCAGGGTTCAGGATGCATCGCTTAAGAGCCCTACCTAAGCCCCCAGCCTTCTGGACTTCGCTTGCATTCATCTACAGTCCCCTTTGAATAGATAGAATATGGGGTATATGGGGATTTACTATATCAATATACCCAAAGCCATATACTATCTACTTAAGGGGCACTACTATCTTCTGGCTCCACTCTGCACAATAAATCACCAAGCAAATGTGCACATAGTCATCTTCATCTACCTGCATAACTATCCATCAACATCTAGAGCTTCGTAGAACCGCAGCTTCCATGCGCATGAGCATGTATGTATACAGTATACAGTATACAGTATCCAGTATACAGCACAGGAGACAGTATCTACACGCGCGTTTCAAACACGGGTTCTGCCCCCGGCCGGCCTGTGTCAAGGCCGAGAAGGACAGGAGACCAAGCAGCAGGGCAACCAAGCCATGTAGGCAGCCATATAGCCACCTGACTAGTGTTTTTTTTTGGTGGTTGAACCTAGTAAGATTCTATTCCTTATATGAAATAGTATACCCCAAAAGGAGGATATAATCTTCCTCTATATTGGGTACCATAGTATTCCCAAAAAAAATACTACTCACCTCGGCCAGGTTTATTGAGGGATGGCCCTGCAGTCTATGAACGCATTGTACACAAATGTCTCAGCACAGGCATATGCATGTGCATGTATTTATGTGTGTCTGTGTGGAAGCGACGTCTTTGAATGCATATAGCTTGACATATATGAATACATAGATATATCTATATAATGGTATATTAATCCCAAAACACATATGGTGTGTTTCACGCGTTTTGGCCAGCAGAGGGTGGCCTCTCAGCAGCATCAGACGCCAGTGCGGCTAGTGCGGCATCTTGGCAGCAAGCCTCCGCGCACGAAGAGGGAAGGGGGAGGGGTCGAAAGGGTTTGGGGGTGTTAAGGCTTGTGGTTTAGGAAGCTTAGTGGGGCACATGAACTTTATGAAGGCTTCAGCGTTTTGGGCTCAGGGAATAATACTAAACAGTGTAGCTGTCCCCTTCTTCCCATAGCAGATATCATACAGAATCAAATCAAACATCATACCATGTAATGAGTGATCTTTTGTTGCCATTGTTGAAGCTTGCCGCCCTGCCTGGTAGTCTTTACACAAGTCGTCCAAACGGCCCTGGAACGATAAGGCCTGCGGTCATGCCAACGCAAAGATATTGTTGGAAAATGGGGATCTGTCAAAATTTGGGTACCCAACGCTATGCCCTGGTATGTATTGGCAACTCGAACGTGGCCGTGTCATGGAGTCGAGTGAGGCTTTGTTGAGAAACTCCCACGTATGCATTCCTCTTGGCGATACTGTTGCTATCTGTGACGCCTGTGTTGCATTTGGCAAGGAGCTCAATTCGAGGGTTTCCCACAAGTGGGCATACCTTTTGGGGGTCCCATCGGGTCGCAGCAATACGGATTATAGTATTTGCTGATCTATATTGGGGTCCCCCTCTTTTGGGAAACTACAATTTTACGATGGCCATCTATTTTGTGGCTGTTGCGCCGCCCGGCGTTGACTAAAAGCATGACGATACCATTATGGCTCGTTTGCTACAACCAACATGCTCGCTCCACTTGCGCCGGTGCTGTTGCATTTGCTCTCGCTGACGCTGGGGGGAACATTGGCGTAGACAACAGTAAACTCTCTTCCTTACACATTGCCAAGAAATCCCAAGCAGCCAATTCTGCAAACAGACAGCAGACATGGGATTACAATGTCCAATGTCCCCAGTCACGACTTCTAGACATCAGGACTGAAGGGGATTCTGTACGGGCCATGAAGAAAACACTTGCCCGGAGACCTCATGGCAATCGGTCAGATGGGCCAATCGCAAGGCCTGTCATTTGATGAAAAGTGGGACTTCTGAGAGTTAGGTCCGCTGGTCAGTCATGTGGGGGTTTCCTATAGTATTTGGGGTCTATAGTGGGGTCCCTTGGGGAAACTACCATGTGAAAGTGCTCCATGGATTAGGGCTCGGGTTTAGGGATTTGAGGGCTTCGGGATTCAAGGCTATAGCGCCAGGTGCCCTCGAAGGCGGGGACCTTTTCTTCTTTCTGCAGTCGGCAGTTAAGAGGGGATCTAATATTATTAGACCTGTTGTCTCCTACATATCTGCACAAACTCGGAGAAACATGTTGTAGTTCTTCGTGACGAAGAATGGGACCTTAAAAACATGGAGAACTCCCCAAGCACTGGCAGGAATTTCCCTACCACTGCTACTGGTGGCTAAAGGTCTTTCGGGGGACGGGCTTGGGAATTACGACTTAGGACGGCAAAAGGCGCTGCAAGTCAAACGGGAAAACAGCATGGTCTCGGACTGAGGGCTTGAAATTCAGGACGTTTATGCTCAGCGCTTATGCATTTACCAGAACCAGTGGAATCTTAAATGAGCTGCGAGAAAATCCAATCTTAGTCCCTCAGATCGCTTCAGAACTTGTCAGACTCAAGCTCCCCAACAAGAAAGGATTAGACTAGATGCCTGAATAGCTGGGAAGATTCTACCAATCTATTCCTTGCATAGCTGTACTCTTGGATTCCTCCCAAACTCTATTCCAGTCATTTCAGCCCCACGCCCTACAACGTCAACGTTTCTGATCCCACTTCTAAGCTCCAGGCAGCGGCGGCTTCGCTCTTCGCTAGGAAGCGTCGCAGCCTGGTCTGCTGAGGTTGTGGAGATGGATCAGGCTTAATATTACCCCTATATTTCCCTGTATAACCCCATATACCCCCCTATTGTCTCTAGAATTACCTCATACAACCATGATGGGGCCTAGGTTGAGAGCTCAAGCTTGAGGGTTTAGGAGCGCGCGGGTTGAGAGTTCAGGGTCTGCGGCTTAAGGTGTACAACTTATTCTTGTGCATATAGGGGTATATAAGGGAATATTTGGGCAATACAGGGGTATATAAGGGTAATATTGGGGAACGTAGGCCAATATTGGGCCTAATCCTGGGCCTTCCATGCCTAAGCTTTTTTTGCGCGGAATATGTTGTTCTGATCTTGGTCTTCACAAGCCACTTCTTTGCTATGCAACGGGGTCAAAAGATGATGGTTCTCTGGGGGGGGATATGACAGAGGCAGATTCTACAGGGCGTGGAAGATTCGGAAAAAACAACATAGAATAAGCCTTTGGTGCAGAAAACGTGTAGGTTTATAACACGACGAGCTATATCTTGTCATGGCAGTTTTCCACAGGTGCCTTGTTAAAAAAAAATACATCTGGCCTGACTTAGCATTTCCAGCTGGATAAGCCCTAAACACCAAACTCTCGGGGTCCCTGCTGCTGCACCAAAGACAGGCGCCGCTGGTGGGAGTACATGGCTGACCTTCAGCTTGGCCAAAGGTTTCAGGGCTAGAGTTTGGAGATAGTACCTGAGGAGGACCCCCTCCCCACCCTGCAATAGTGGTATACTAGGAATATAAGAGGACCCTAATATGTTCACCATTATCTTGTAGGTGTGGGTGGGGGGTCCACCAGTACCCCAATAAGGGAGAATCAAATGGAAAATGGATCCCGGGTCCCGGGTCCAAGATCTTGGCGGCTCAGGGGGTTCTCAAAGGGTGAGGTTCCAGGTCCCCGGTTTGGCGTATGACGAAACTGTCACGTTTTTCACTTCTTGGTTGGGATGAAATGCCAATAATAGCACAACTTCTCCTGCCGTTTGCTAGCTTCCCAAAATAAAGGGACCCCAATACAGATCCCAAAATACTATAACCTTTCAAATAGGGACACCCAAAAAGGTATCGAACTGGCAGCTCTCACGGTTTCCAAGAAGGCGGCGCCACGAGAATGGTCAGCATCACTGCTGGAACTGCCTTCAAAGCAATAATCGTACCAATAACCAGCGTGAACAATATAGTACGAGCGCGTCGTTTCGTATCCCAAAAAGCATTTCGTACCCCAACCGCAAGGCACAGCGGCTTATCCCATAGCGAAATTTCATATGCCAAAACCGAATCCCCATGGC